CCCCAAAACCCCAAAACCCCAAAACCCCAAAACCCCTAGGATGGGTTTTACATTTGAAATTAATAATATGTCTGCTTAGTGTAAGATTAAACCCTTCTAGTTCGATCTATTTACTCAACAGTTCTATGCATAATCAAGCTAAATGTTATCATTAAGCAACTTAAGACTGATTGCTCCTCTGCTGAATATTTTTTATCTGAAATAACTTGAAGTTAATCCTTCTTTAAAAGTTGGCAATAGTCCAAATAAAATTCAATTATATCCTGTCTTTCTGCAAGATACACTCTAAAGCATCTACTGGCTTCTTCATCATTCTTCAGATCTGACTGATCTACTTATATTTATCTTGACTGCCTGGCAATCATCCACGAGTTTGAACAAAGATTCTGGAGTTTCTTTTGATTTGAATGGAGGTAATTTTTTATGCCAAGTGTTCGTAAAATCTCATCTCTCTGACTTTTTTGAGGAATATTAAGAGTGGAAGCTATGAAACAGATTAGTTCAATTCAAATAGACTTAATGCCTTTGGACACTTGCATTGCGTCAAGAGCTTTCAACTCTGACTTCTTTCTAGATGAACATAGACCTGAAATTGGTAAACTTAATGCCACTAAAAATGTAAAACATCATCTCAATGTGATTCGTATCACAGCCATCAGTCTTTGGTTGTTTAGCAAACTAAGTTACAAAGAGAATAATTCAATTTGTTGGCCATGGCTCCGTTAGGGTTCAGGAAGTAAATGAGAGTCAAATGCTTCGCTGCTTCAAACTCAGTGGCGAAGTTCCGAATTTAGAAGAATCTTGCAAGTCTAATGTCTTAGAATTTAAAATACTTTTACTGAATACGGAAAGCAACCAAGGTGAAGAGTTGTACTATTTGGGTTAATATAATTAGAGAATCTGAGATTTTAAAAGCACAGAGGAATCATCTAAACTCCATAGCCAAGATTCTGGAGTTTATGAACATTCAGAATTATTGGAAAATAACTAAATTGAGGCATCTATCTTTTTTTCTAGAGCAGATTACAGAGACAAATCAGAGTTTAAACCTCTGAAATTAAGCTCTAGTTATGCAGATATATTTCTTAAAGATAATATTTTGCTTAGTAAGTCACATCTTGCTTTATTCATGCAGGTCTAGACTTGGCTGGGGTTATCCTAAGAGAACCCATGCATGAAATTATGCAATGGTTATAAGAAGTTATAAACTTTACGAATGGAATATTTTTATTAACTAACCACAACGATTGCAATGCAAAATAAGTTCCTACATATTTCCAACAAAATAACTCGACTAAAGATGATTCCAAATGAATGAAATGCCGAGAAATAAAATTTGGAAGTCTGAGCAAAGCATTAGCAATGGTACTTTTTTTTGAGTAAAAATTTAGTAACTAAATAATCTCTTAAAAATTAATTCTGCTCTCTTCTCTATCTAAGTGAAGCTTAGCCGATAAAACCAAGCTTTTGGATGCTTTGAGTTACCTTCAGCTTTTAAGTTGACAGAAAGATATCTTAGAAGTTTTTTTAGCCCTTTTGGATCTCAAATTTGCTCTTCATATGCTTTAGAATGTGTTAAAATTAAATTAGGTGAATTGAATTTGAGTTCATTAGTTTTTATAACTTTTTAATGGTTGACTGCTTACTATTTTGCTCAAGAGTAAGTGGTTGGCCATAATGGCTCCTAATTTTACTAAAGCTCGCTTTTCATCAGATCATAAACTGCAAAAGGATTTTTAAATATGTCAAATGTGCGTAAATACCCTCAAAACATTATTAGAAAAAGCTCAAAAAGTGTTTTACATTTCTAAATTTTCGATTATTAAAATTCTGAAATTTCATTTCAACTAAAAATGTTTGATGAACCACCTCCCGAATACCCCTCTATAAGTTACAAGAGAGTATTTCTTGGGATGAGTATGGCTGTCCATCCAACCAGCAATACAGGAGGTTACGAGTAATTATTATAAAAATTATCATTCATAATGTTCATGGCTGCAAGCTACTCTAAGCAAACAATACTTTTAGAATCTGATCTGACGAGATCTTCCTTAACAGCTTCTTTTCTTTCAGAGTAAGACCAGACTCTCTCCACCTGGTAGAAGTTCTTTCGTTGAAGGTTTGAGGCTTGTATTCTTCAAGCTTTCTTTTGGAAATCATCTGAGTTTGCTGTTTTAGAGGGCTTGAAGTTAGATTTGAGTCTATTAGTTTTTGCCTGGCAAAATTTGGGCTAGCCACAGCATCTATTGCTTTCTCGAAGTCAGCCATATCCGGCTTGCCTTTGTTGTCTTTGAGAGTATTGGCAAACTGATGCGTAAAATTCGGTATCTGAGAAGAACAATCATCTTGGTCATCAAAAGCTAATTCTGGACAATCCCAAACTGACTGAGAACCTTCAGATGTATCATCGCTAAAATTTGCATTCATTAATATTTGTTCTTACTTTTCAACGAAGTTTTTATCCTCTGGGGTTTTGGGGTTTTGGGGTTTTGGGG